TTCATATCCCCCCCCCCCCCCCCCCCCCCAAAAAAAATCAAAGACACTCAGGAAATTGTTTAAAATACACAATTTGTGTGAATTTTATTTTGTAGTATTAACAATGTTCCTGAATTGTGTGTGCATTTACCTGCTGGTGCCCAAATGCACCAGCCTTATCATGAAGAGGAAGGGGTCACATAGATTGGGATCAGAATAAATTTCAAAAGGGCAGTATTGAGATAACCAAATGGAGATATGGCATACCACTTTCAAAACTCCTAATGCATGTGTGCACATGTAAGCAGCGAAATAATTCAACTATCTTTGAGGACTAGACTATTGCATTAGGATTTTAGGGTTTTCTAAAAATATATTAATTATTCTGTTGTAGACAGGTAAATGTAGTTTAATAGGATGTCTGTTAATCACAAAGCCAATTTTATTATTTTTAATAAGTCTGATATGCTTCTCTGTCTTCTAAAATTAAGTGGAATTTGAGATCTGTATGTGTTATGCTGAGTTTGCTCGTGTAAATTCAAAAAGTATATCTAAAACTGGCTTTGGGGAGCGCATTTCACTAGCTACTGTATGTTCAGAGACCTGTGCCAAGTGAGTGTTATATTTCTGCCTCTTTTGATCATTTAGCTTCAGTTAGCCTTGGATGCCTATTCCACAAATTGGGACATTTGCAGGACTTTTCGGAACCACATCACTGGCAGAAGTCAGTCTGCGGCTCTGATCCTTCCTTTAGACAGGTGTGTTCATAACAGCCTCCCCCTCCTCATGGACTCATGAATGTTTTTAGTATTGCGTGAGACCAAGACTCATCACAACCTTCAAAACATATTCTTTATGCCTTTCTTAAAGGTTCGTTATTGTGTTGTTATGCCCAGGTCTTCCTGTCATATCTTGAAATGTCAAGATCCGCAAACATTTACTGAGGATAAAAGCTCTCAGAGTGCTGGAGGCAGGACCTATAGCTGGAGATTCAGCAACTTTGGCCTTCTAGGTGTTTATTTTCAAATGCAGCACCAAGCAGGAAGTTCTGTCTAATTATCTTTAAGTAGCTATTAGCTATAGAAATCTAGTTTGGGTTATAAAATAGGCATGGGACAGGTGTCAGCACGGTGGCCTATGGCCAAATCTGGCCCTTCACCTCTTTTTCTATAGCCCACAAGCTAAGGATGATTTTCCATTTTTAAATCATGGGAAAAAAGCAGAAGAAGATATTGTATAACATGTGAAAACTGTGTGACAATCGGATTTTAGTGTCACCAAATAAAGTTTTACTGGAACACAGCCATACTCGTTCACCTAAAGATTGCCTGTGGCTGCTTTTACACTGCACTAGCAGCATGGAAGAGCTGCCATGAGACATATGTGGTCCCCAACATGAAAAATATTCACTACCTGGCCTTTACAGAAAGTTTGTCAACCGCTGGCACAGAATAGAATGTAACTTTTGAGTTAATAGCATCACAAAGATTTCAGTCACTCCCACAGGACACAAGTTCACTGTTGTTCAAAAACAAATACCAAATATAAATCCTCAATAAAATTATGTGAAAGCTGGTGAAACAGTGGAGATCATAAAGAATTGTGCCATGAAACAAAAATATGTCCATGGCCATTATTCTCATTATGGACATGAACAGAGAGAGTCACACAGGCCACCCAGGGTCCCCTCGGGCCTCGTCTCGCAGTCTGTGTTCTGCCTGCATGTTGGTTAGGGTGTCTGTAGAAAGATACAGCGACTTTCCCTAAAAACTTCTTCTTATTACCAGGAAGAAGTGCACCGTTGGAAACAAATTTCTAAGATAAGAACTAGGATTCCTTCAGCTTCTCAAGCAAAGTTTGGTTTGCCACATCTATCGGTACAGAAATGAATAACCATAAAAAAGGGGGGAAGGACAGGGGGAGAAACAAGATAAAAGAAGTTGGAGAGAACATTTTAAAGCTGGCCTTCTCCTTTTCTCAATTCATGATTCATATGTTGTGACGCTGATATTTATGCTATTTGGCAACCAACTGGCTAGAAACAGTCTCTTTAGACCTTTGAATAAAACAGCACTTTATTCACTTAGAATTGCTGTGCGTGTGTGTTTGTGTGTGAAGGTGGTAATGTGCCCTTGAAAGCGCGTCCTCTCTTCCAGGTGTTCTGTAGGAATGCACTGGGTGACTATGCTGGATGTGGTGATGGGAAGTAGAACCATCCTCAAAACAGGCGATTCTGGGTGGACTCCCAAAAATCTTCCAGCTCATCAAAATTTTACCAGAGAGGACATCTCTATCCTTACTGTAAAAATCCCTGTGAAAATCAGTGACCTTTAATCCTTTCTGTTATCTTAGTCTTCATCATACCAAAGTTATTATCTGAAAGGTTTCCATTTTTTCACCGAAGATACTCCACCACCTGAAAAAGGCTTGTAGGAATCGATTCCTCAGCTGGCAGATGTTGGATACACACTTGACTTAGAACCATGATCACTGCCGTAGCAATTTAGAAAATTGTTAGATATAATCCTTTCTCTTCAGGTGTTTGTAGTCAAATCTGAAAAGCAAAGCTCACACACACACACACACACACACTCACAAGCATTTTACTCAGCTGAAAGTTTAAATTAAGCACAAGCATAAGAAGAGCTCATGGGAGACGTAAATCATTCTGAGGAAGGAGACCGTGAGAACTGAACCGCACACCGGGAGTCTGCCATCCTGATAAACGGCTAAAGGGCGTAGGTGCGCGTTCCTAGTGGACAGAGTAGATTAGATGAAAACACGGATCACTGTATTACCTACATCAGGACTAATGGCTCAAAGGGCAAAAGACAACTGAGTTTAATATATAGAGA